CTACGACCACTGCGACGCGGACGGGCAGCTCCGAGCCCAGGGTTGGAAGGAGACAATGGCCATGACCAGCTGCCTCGAGTTGGACAAGGCGGCGCTCAACGCGGCCTTGAGGCTCGGCAACAGGGCTCTGCGAAGAAGCAGGGCGCCCACCGGCAGTCCAGCACACCTGCGAGCACGACTGGCCCCCTGAAACCCAAGGTCCCCCTCGGAGGGCCTCGCGCGCTGCGGCCGGATGTAGGCCACCAAGAGGTGAATGGGGAAGACCCCAGGCCAGGGGTGGGGTGGGGTGGATGGGTGGGTTTCCAACTTCCCCTGCAAGATGGTGACCTGCTGGGCGACTTGAGCTGCAAGAACTGCAGAGAGCGGGGGCAACCTGTGCCCCCCGCCCCCCCCCCCCCCGAGATGCGCCAAGTGGGGATCACGCCAAGGCCACGTGCAGCAGGGTCTTCTCGGTGCACGGCCCCGGGAGGGGCGCAGGGGGGGAAATCAGTGCCCCGGACTCGGCCGGGCCTCGCCTCGCGGCGGGGCCCACCCGCGCGCGGTCTCTAGAAGGCGCTGTGCGGCGCCTCCTGCTCGGGAGCGGGGCCTCCCCCTCCCCCCCGCGGCCTCGCCCGGCGCCGGGAAGGCGCCCCCTACTGACTCGCACACTCATCGCCTTTCGCCGACTTGGCTGCGGTGCATTTCGGGTGGGGGCTGGTAGTCCGCGCCCGGGCCCTACCCCGCAAGCCACAATGCAGGGCTCCGTGCAGAGACGGGCGCTGGGGGATGGGGGATGGGGAGCCCCCCTCCAGCCCCAGCCCCAGCCCCAGCCCGGCCCGCCCCGCCCCCTCCCGTCCCCCCTTCCCGGCGGCCGCAGGTATCGGGGCCGGACCCCGTCAACAAACAGGGCGCCCACAGGAAGCGCCCGGGGGAGGGGGCCCGTCCCCGCGCGACGCCTTTGTCTGCGCCCGCACCCCGGGCCAGCTCGGCGGGGCGCGGGGCGCGATCGCGCCTTCGCCCGCGGCCCGGGTGGGGGAGGGGCGCGCGGGGCCGCCCGGAGCCCCCCGCCACACACACCGCGGCGCCCGCCCGCCCGCCCCGCGCCCGCGCGGCTCCCCGCCCCCCGGCCGCGCCGAGCGGGGCCGGGCGGGGGGCGCGGCGGGGCCCCCGCGACGCTGCGGCCGGGCTTACCTTGAGTCGGCCTCGAGGCGCGCGCGGGGCCGGCGGGCCGGGGGGCCGGGCGGCGGCGGCTGCGGCGGGGGGCGGCGGGCGGCACGGCGGAGGCGGCGGCGGCGGCGGCGCGGGCGGGGAGGGCGCGCCCGGGGCCTCGGCGGGCTCCGGCTCCGGCTCCGGCTCGCGCCGCGGCCGCGGCTGCTGCCGGGGGGCGCGGCGGGCGCAGCAGAGCGGCGGGCGGCGGGCGGCGGCGGCGCGAGCGGCTCCCTCCTCCGGGCGGACCCGCGCGGGCGGCGGCGGCGGCGGCGTCGAGCGGTGCAGACAAAGGAGGGGCGGAGGGCGGAGACGCGGGCGCGGGGGCGGCGGCGGCGGCGCGGCGGGCGCGGGCGGCGGCCGCGCGGCTCTCGCTCCGCGGCGGCGGGACCGGGAGAGGGAGCTGTGTCTGAGGCGACGCCGGGAGCCCCCTCGGCGGCGCGGCCGCGGGCGGGCGGGCGGGGGAGGGGGCACAAGATGGCGGCGGCCGGGGGGCGGGGGCTCAGCTCATGGGTCCCGGCGGGCGGCGGCGGCGGCGGCGGGGAGACCGGCCCGGCGGCGGCGGCGGCGGCGGCGGCGGCGGCCGGGGGAGGGGGCTGGCTCCGCGGCTCCCCTCGGCAGACAATACGGGCGCCTCGGAGCGAGTCCCCGAACCTGCCCTGGCCAAAATGGCGGCCGAGAAAGAGCGGAAGTGACGTCAGGGCTCATTAGCATAAGAGGACTCATTGTCCAGCCGGGCAGGGGGGCCGCGGGGGGCCGGCCGGCGCCCCCACCCGGGGCCCCTCTCACCTGGGCCGGCGCCCCTCTTTCCCGGGGCTGGGGGGAGGAGGGGCCCGGCACCCCCGCCCCCGCCGCGGGCCCATTATATAATCCCCACCGAGGGGGAGCTCTCGCGAGAGCGCGGCGCCTTCGCCACGGGCCCGCTAGGAGGCGCCGCGGATAATGGCCGCAGTGCGCTTGCAGGCCCGTGTGCGCGGCGGGCGCCTTCCCCCGGCCGCGCCGCCCGCCCGCCCGCCCGCGGCGGAGGCACCCGGCGCGGGCGGGCCGCAGCACGCCCGGCACTCAGTCAGGTGGCCGCGCCGGGGATCCGTGCGCGCCCAGCGGGGCCCGGACTACGTGGTGGGAGGGGTCGCGCGGGCCGCGGGCGCCCCACGTGCTGGGCTGCGGCGCGGGCAGGGCGGGCCTGCGGCGGCGCGGGGCAGCGCCTGTGGCCGGGCCGGCCCGGCGAGGTGCGAGGGCCTCGTGCTCTGCACACCTGCGGCGGGCCGCCCGCCCGCGTGCAGGCCGACTCTCCGTCGACTCTGCGGCTCCCGCCCTCGGCCGGTGGTCTTCAGCGGCCCGGAGCAAGTGAACCGACGCCAGCGCCGGGAGGTCGCCGCTGCGCGGGTGCAGCCCCCGGACCTGCGCCGGGCCTCGAGCCCGGGCCAAGAGGGGCGCCCACCCACGTGCTCTCTGCGCCACCGACACGTGCGGGAACCGCCCCGACCGCCGCCTCGGAGCGTCCTCGGTCAGCACCCCAGCACCGCGGGCCAGCGGGGAGGCGGAGCCAGCCTCTCCTCCTCGGACGGGCGGTCAATACTTATCTTTCGCAGGTTCTCTAGATCTCAAGCTTAGCACACTTTCAAACCATAGAAAACATCCCCGAAGAGCTCGACAACTGCAAAGAGCACAACCGTGGCTACACAGAGTTCAACGGCTAAGGCGCCCGCGGGCCTCAGGCTGCTTCGTCCAACACAGTTGTCCGTCTCTGAAACGGTGACATCCAAAATGAGTATGAGCTCTGGAAACACAGGCAAAACCTTTCAAAGGAAATTATTTCAGAGACAGATTTACGGTCAAACCAGCATGGCAAGAAGCAGTTAAAACAAAAAAGGATGGAAGTGGGAGATGGGACCAAGCAACTGATTTAGAAGATCACGAATCTACATGTTGCACAAGACAGGCAAAAGCTAGTTTGAAATACGCAGAGTAACCGGGCTTGGTTTTCCTTAGACTTAGATTTCATACAGTGATAATACAAATACAAAGGGAGAACATCTGGATTTCATCCTTGGCCTCATTTACAAAGCAAAAAAGGGATGCTGGATTCATATGTAAATGTTTAAAAAGAGTTTGCAGTGTATAAAGCCACGAGATTTACTGTAAAAATGCATCCAAAGAGCCCAGTCTTTTCTCAATAACTTCCAAATGGTGAGTATCCTCACTGCTCCAACACTTTCCTGTGAACTCCGACTGTGATAATGCTGTAATGTTTGCGGGAGTAAGAACCGGAAAGAGTAAGAGCAGCAACTCTGAATTCCAGTGCAGTCTGTGAAGGCAGAGCTTGATAATGGGTCTCACCGGGGAAGTCCCCGAGCTGCTATTCCAAATAGTCAACAAGGAGAACTGAGCTTGGGTCAAGACGAGACTCGCGAGGAGATCCACCCGCCTCTGAGTATCCCACTTCTATTAGACTAGCTTAGGTCTCACTCGACATCAGTGATGTGTCTTCTCCTGTGGGTTACTGAGAAGTCACTTCCCCAAGGAGGGGAGGTCCCTGGGGAGCAGCCACACTGGGCAAAGGGATCAGAGGTCTTTATTAGGGAGTGTCCTATGGATTCAGCTATGGGAACAGGCATCCTTCAAAATGACTCCACTTTCACACTCAGGCTTTAACTCCCGGTACAAAATTCTGTCAGAGAAAGACGCAAATGGAAAGTCAGACCGTAAACTTCTTTCTGGCCAAATTAAGTCACACGGTTGTGATAAGGAACACTATTCACCGGATATGCTTAGTGACTGATCTGCGACAACGCTAACTTGCAACTCGACCTTCGGCTTATGTGTTCAAAATCTGTCTTACAAACTTTAAGAGCTACTGTCTAATCCCAAAGCTACGCTACAATTAAAAATGATTTCTGAAATACCAAGTCGAAGGCAGGCAAACAGTATTTGCACCTGCTTTACTGGGCGACTGACTTGCATCTGAACTGGCAGATTCTTTCCTGTCGAGACACACAAGGGCAGGAGGGGAGGGATTTTCTGTCTTACTGGTAAAGCTTTTTTGAGGCTGAAATAATAGGAAAATGTTCGTTGAAAAGTTTTAGATAATATAGTAAGATGTTACAAAAATTATAGAAGTCAAGTTTATACTTACTATCAACAGTACTTACAGAAATCATTACTCAGAAAAGAAATAACCTCTATGCAACCAACTCACGGTCATGCTGTTTCCAATGCACAAAATGGACTTTATTTTTGTTGCTGCTTGTGGGGCCATATCCAGAGATGCCAGGGAAGGAGCCCAGGCCTCACGGGCACACGTGTGCAGCACTGGGCAACGCTGCCTCCCCCAGTGCATTCACTTCAGACACTCGATGTGACAGATAAATGTTCTCTAACAGCTTAACAGCGGCAAAGAACCAAGCTCCAAATTGTGCTTAATACATGGCTTTATCTGGTTTAAGATACTTAAATGTATTTTTAAAGAAAGGGCAGTCTTCCCCACTCCCCCAGTTCATACAAAAGTCAAATATATTTTTAAAGTAATTATAGCAATTAGGTACAAATAGGAATCAAACCAGTTCTTGTACAGAACATCAGTCTCTTTCTCATTGAAGAGCTTCTGCAGTACGTTAAGCAACAAAACAAAACATATGCACTTATGTCTTAATACAGCAAAATATAAAAAGAAATCTGAGAATGTTGCTTAGTTTTCTAATTTAATTTGAAACATAGATTAAGAGTTTCTTCAGTTCTTGATAATATAGTAAGATAACATAAGTAAGATAATATAATCTTTTTCAGGAAAAAGATTTGCATGAAATTTACCTTACCTTTTGATAAACACTTTAAGAGCACATTTTATAAAAATCAGCAACCAGGCTTCTTTTTTTTTAAATTGAAATGAACATTAAGTACAAATGAACAATTTTCATTTATGTAGTAGCAAAAAGAGTCAATAATCCTTTCAGGAAAGAGACTATTTCATTTCCTCCCAACTTGGATTCACCATAAACTCGATCCACAAATGATATCGGTACCTAGTTTGGAAAAAAAAAAAAAAAGAAGAAAAATCAGCAAGGCAACAAGCAGGCATAGCTTTAAGGATAATGCAAGAGAAACAAGTTCCCCAATAAACAGTTCTTGGAATAGATTCGGAAGTCGGGGTTTCTTAAACTGTATTCAACCCCAAAATTAAAACAGACATTGTATGACCAAAAAATGGGTCCTAGGAACTCTGTCCACCGCTGGGAAAGCACTGTCCGTGAATATGAGCCGGCTGACTAAAGATTTAGCAGGCATTTCTAGGGAAAATAGCCTAGAAGTAAACGTTTTCTGCAGCAGTCAAGTTTAGCTCTATGTTTTAATATTAAGTTCTAAATTTTGTAATGTCTGGAAGTGACGCTGGATTTCACTCTGAATGGCAATATAAATGCAGAATGAATGAGTCTTCCCTAAAAGCTTATTAGCTAGCTCTAAGTATCAGATGCCCGGGTGCCACAAAGTTGGCCAATGCAACTCTCGGAAACTGAGCAACTGGGATTCATCACTGGAACTGGGGTCATGCCTGACAGTGCCGGAGCCACACGGCTGGATTTGGCTGAGGATGAACCCTGGGGTCTGGACCCTCTGAGGAAAGCGCCCTACTCCTGGGCCATATCCAGAAACACGGATATTCACCCTGCAGTGCACCTCAATAGCAGTTAGGAAACTTGAGACTTTTCATTCGAGTCTGAACCTTATTGTTCCTTTATGAGGAAGACACACTACCATCTGTAGCATACCTCGCCGATAGTGTAATTCAACTGTCTTGCTCGAACGATCATTTCCATCTGGAAGACATAGCCTTTAGAAACACATTTTTCGATGAGCTTCTGTAGTACTTCTTTTCGGTATAACCTGGAAGAAATTAAAATGTCTTGAGTACATATACACTTGCCGTCATGAATTTCTACTTAAAAAAAAAAAAAAAAAAACAAAAACCCAAAAATCAAACTACTGGTTGTAAAAACCTTAAAATTTCCCTCACCAATTGTATAATACATAGTCCTTGGAGTTGGCAATTATACTATATTTATCCTGAACTGGAAAGGCCATAAAACTGTGATTTAGAATTCAGAATTAATTTGGAAAATGAAATATAAATTTTTAAAAACTGGGTAATTTGAAGCAGAACCTCTCATTATTTCTAGTGTTTAGATTTTCTTAAAATTTCTTTTTAGAATTCAAAGAGAGACAAACTTTTATAGTTTGAAACAACAGTGGACCATGAGGGACCAAAATAACCCAGGGAAGAAAATCCCAGAAAGCTGGTGTCCTCCTAAACATCTAGGATCTGAAGGTGGCACCCGTTTACTCCCCCTGGCAGCCTGGAGGCCACTGGTGGGCGGGCCCTCCTAAGAGGCCCTGGCCCGAGTCACCAGGCCCCAAAGCCCAAGCCAGCAGCCCTGCCCGACTCGGCTATCAGGGAGGGAGGCAGCGGCTGTCACCACGCCCCCGCCCCGGTCTGGAGAACACCAGGCCAGGCCCCGTGAAGTCACTCTGCTTTCTCCCCAGTTAAGGCCGCAGGCCCTGGGCCCCACAGTTCACCAAGTTTTCCCCTCTTTTAGCTTTTTAAGCCTTTAGGTAGGCGTGCAGCACAGAAAGCAAGAGCCCAAGGGAGCCTGATGGCCCGAGTGGGTGTGCCCCTCTAACCTAGAGGCTCCTGAGGACGTTCATCTCAGCGAGAGGAGCGTCTGGACACCTGCATCGGAACAGTGGCGGTGAAGCAGCAACCGTTTCCTTCACCTTTTCAAGTTTCGGGGTTTTCACCGTGGACAGAAAATGGGTCTAGCAGAGCCTTTCGGGGACCTGGCTGTGACTCCTCATCAGAGTTTTCACTGGAACCCCAGACTCTCCCCGCTCTGTCCTAGGTAGTTCTGCGCCAGTCCCAGAGTTTGGGGTCCACTCACGCGGGTGTGCATGCTGACTGCTCACTCATCACTTCCTCCCCACGGAGCTGCCTATGCGAGGGACGCAGAGGGGCTCGCGCAAGGGGCCAAAGGGCCCTTTGAGGAAGTGGCGCAGGGCAGGGCAGGAAGCAAAGCCCCCACCTGCATGCTGGGGCCGGGCTGGAGCATCAGCACGCTTGCTACACCAAGGTAAGGCTCGAAAAATCAAAAAGCAAAACAAAACAAAAAAACAAACCCGAACCTGAATAATGACGACCCCTTCCCCACGCCTGATCATCACCATCCCCGCTGCTGGCCTGTGACGTTTCCAGGGGCCACCCCCTCTGCGGGAAGCTTTGTGCGTGCCACGGCTCTTGACCATGTTCCTAGAGGGCATCTGAAGATTTGTTTTGGGTGAAGAAGGGGCACCCCTGGGTATCCTCAGGGGCCAAGGGACCCTCCAGGGTGCTGGAGATTAATCCCAGCTTAGCTGTGTGCAAGACAAGAGCCCTACCCGTATACCATCACTCAGACCCTGCAAATGAAAATCTTAAAACACAAAACGACTCCAGTTTACTGTACCTGAAGCTGCCTGTCAAGTCAGACGCTCCTGGTCTCAGCAAAATCTGAGTTACAAAGTTGGCCCCGCGGCTGTCAAGTGAAACAAGAGAGACAAATCTGAGCTGAAAGGTCAACACGAAGGCAACAGTTTCCTAAGTGCAACGTTTCTATTCACACACAAAACCCCTGTTTCTATGAAACCGTCTGCCTAGACTATAGCTAAGAAGAACAGAGTAAAAAAGTCCAAGCGGCACCATAGCTGGGGTGCAGGGCCAGGGGGTTGGCACAGAGCAGGGATCGAGCCCAGGGTACTTGCACTACATGCCCCGGGTCCAGGATAACTATTTGCCCACGGTCACCTGTCGGAGTTAAGGACAGCTGCAGGATGCCAACGCCAACCAGGAACGCTGGTGCTTCCCTCTTAATTTTAAACAGCGCAAATGTACTGGTTTCACCTAGGTGACAGGTATGCTCGAGACCGGCATTTCACGAATGGGAGAGGGCTCTGGTTTTCAGTCATCTTTGGTGTCATTCTATGCCATCCTATCCTGGCTCCAGCTGCTACTACAGAAAACACTAGGCTATGTGGCTTAAACATCAAATATTTATTTCTCGCAGTTCTGGGGGTCCAGGATGAAGACGCATGCGGCCTTCTCTGAGGCTCAGACAGGAGGCCGCACGCCTGGGGTGGGTGGGCTGGGAGGGCAGCGTGAGTGGCTGCAGAGGCACTAATCACCCCGAGAGCCCAGACTCCAGCTCCTCTAAGCCTAATTACATCCCCAGACTTCCCTCCACTTTGGGAGCAAGGTTATTTAACACATGAATTCCCAGGCACAAGCTCTCCATAACAATGCCTTTGTCCATAACAATGTCTTTGGGGGTCGGTGTTTCAAACACTACTGAGCATCAATCAATTAAAAAAGCCGCTAGTGACCGAGGGCGATTAACATCTCAAAAGATGTCAACATTTCGAAAAGGCCCCAGGAAAGTGGCTTCTGCAGCTCTTTTCATCTGGACAAGCTGGAGGAGGTTCTCCCCCCCCCCCCCCCCTAGTGAGGGCACCCTAAAGGCCTGCCCTGGGAACAGTGATTATTCTTATCTTGATGCTGAGGATTTGGGTCACACCTGGCCACGCTCAGCGCTTCTTCCTGGTGAGGATGGGGTGATGGGCACTGAACTGGAGGGTGGCGTGTGGTATGTGTGTGTCCCTGTCTGTCCACATCCAAGGCAAGTGCCCTAATCCCTGTACTGTCTCTCCCACCCTGGAACAACTATTCTCATACAGAGCGCATGGGTACAGATATACCACTGGGATAATGGCTAACAAAAAGTATTTCGCTTTTAGTTTAATGATCTTAATCAAAGACATGCGTGAATCTATGTGTATTTACAATAGACGCAGGGCCTGTACCAAGCCCCGCAAGAACAAAAAAGACAAAATGCCCAAAGTGATATTTTCACCCCCTTTGAGTAATACCATCTTAAGCAGTCAGTGTGGAATTTTAGGGGTTGGTGACCCAGCAGACAGAACCCTCGAGGAAGACCTCCGGCCCATAGAACCCGCTCGGCCCTCATCCGTCCCCTAGTCTATTAGCCTTTGGAAGCAGGCAGATGGGGGCGGCCTGGGAATGAGCTTTTGGGAAGTATCAAACTGAAATGTGACGAACAATGAACTCGGCCTAGCCCCAAAGCAGCCACGACCAGACCCACTGGGAGGACGCAGAGACCCAGTTTTGTGATGAGGCGCTAGCCGGGGACCCGGGAAGTTGCGATGGGAACAAGAGGCCGAGCTCCGGCTCGCACAGCAAGGGACAGCCTCAGCCTCAGCCTCAAGCGCTCTCCCGACAACATCCCGGCACCAGACTCTGATCGACACAGAAGGACCCGAGTGAGGGCAGTTTTTTGGGGAAAAGTTTACAAACTAACTTTGAGGGTGAAACACCTCAAGGTGTCGATGAGCCCAGGCAGCGCATGACGCGGACCCTGACCACAGAGCCAAGAGTTAAGTCCCGAGCATAAGCCAAAACAACCAACTGTGAGAAGCCAAGCGGTGTGCGTCCCCGTTCTGGGGGTCACCCCCCACTTAATGGGGATGTAGAATTCTTTTCTCTTACTTGATGGGTACTTGAACATGGCTCCTTTCTCCTTCGGATAGGATGCTTTCTAACGAATCCTTTAATAATAAAATCATGAGATTTTTTAAGTTATAAGGAATATCCAAAATATATCTCTGTGTCCATCTATACAACTACTCAAGGTTATCACATCTTTGTGGTCTCTTAGGAACCACACCCACTGTTTCTGGGGGGTGACTACAAGGGGTGCCCAGGGAACCAGGCATTGAATCCGAGCCTCCCACCTGCCACGCATTCCAGCCCTTTGAGTGCTCTTTCCGGTTTAGTTGGGGTCTTTTAATTAAAACGCAGCAGGAGTCAGACCAGACTTGGATTTCAACTTTGCCCCTGGATCATACAAATGAGGCTGCTGACTGCCTCCATTTTCCTTAGGGCTTCTCCTCCAAGGCGGCGCTCAGGACACAGCCTGGTGCACCCCAGAGACTGCAGCTTTGATTCCGGACCACAGCAAGGACGTGCGGATCCCAACACAGTCACGTCAATGCGGCTCAAGGGAATCACCAGGTGTGCAACTGTGTCTAAACAGCACGGCATGTCTTAATTAGACCAACGGGCACACAGGGCCCAAGCGATGATGTAGAACGAAGGTGCACGCGGCAGGCCCAGTTGACCCCCCCGTGCTGCACACGCTCGTCCAAGCAGGGAGGTGCGACCCCTGAGCACAGAGGACTAGGAAGTCGTGACGGAACCAAACCAACAGGAAAAGTAAAAAAAAAAAAAAAAAAAAAAAAAAAGATTTGAACACGTGTGGGTAGGTAAATAACATGGACCCGAGGTTGCCACAAATCTTCAATTTGTAAACAAAACCTAAACCCCTACAATGTCCAGGAATGCAACAGAACAAGGGCTGCCTTGACACCTGGACACAAGTGCAACCTGTCTGACTGAAGCAAGAGCTGCAATGGACAGACTCACTGTTCCGTCAGTGTCTGTCTTCGCTGCAGACAGAATCCTGATGCTCTGGCCTCACTTCTGGGTTCCCTTTAAAGGCTTTGCCAGGGAGAATGCACGCCCAGATCGCAAGCCCACTTCCTGGGGTTTGGGTGGGGTCAAATCCAGCCGGGCTCAGGTGCTACCCTGAGCTTAGTGCTTGGGGTTGATCTCGGCTGTGCTGGGGGACTAAGTAGTCACCAGGGGCAAATGCGGGCCTCTTGCGTGCAGAGCCTGGAAGCAGCTTGACCCAATCTCTTCATTTCACTAAGACTGGACATAACCCATGCTTTGAATAACTTGCCCAGGGTTCCATAACTGAGGCAAGCCGAGAACTTGCCTGTGCTGTCTTCTAAAAAGCAGTAACCCAGACAGATCCTTTGCAGACAGAGCTTAAGACACCTCAGAATTCCAACCACCCGGAACAGCAGGTGACACAGATCAAATATACTACGATCATCTGAAGTCCGTTGTGGGTCAGGTCTTCCCTCCAAGAGGCAGTTTCTATTTCCCTTTAACAGAAACATCAATTCTCCGTTAGCCTCAGGAGGCCTTACAACTGTTCCTGATACCGTGGGACGCTGACTTCAAATGCCAAGAAAGCAAGCTTGTCTGGCTTCGCCAACGGCGAGAGGCCAGAGGCAGGAGAAATGAGATGCCCCGGCCCACTCAAGAACCAGGCCCACCTGCTGGACAAAATTTTGAACCTTTCAGCACAGTCGAAGGAAGCTGTGGAATTAGGCCAAGGGAGGCCCACAGGGCCCACCAGGAACCACCAGCCAATTCACAGAACCGACCGCGAGAAACAACAGGCTGTTGTTTAAGCCACAGCGCTCTGTGGAAGCTTTACTTCCATCCCCAAAGCAGGAGAGCGATGCTCAGGGAAGGCTGACGTTCTAGGAGACACAGGAAGAGAAGGACCCAGACAAGACCTTAATTCAGATCATGGGCTGAAGTCTACCTTTAGAGGCTTAGTTAAAAACTGCAACCGTGAACATTTATTTGAAATTAGCCTGGCAAGCTCCCCGTGACTTATTTGATATGCCAGACACAGTAACAACAAAGTCTCCAATGGAGACGTTACTGGGCCCGCTCGAGCAAATCGACGATCAACGGGAGGGCCTTTACTTTTTACTTTACTTACTTTAAACACCTCCATTTGGAAAAACTGTTTCCAAACTGTTCTAAAATACAGATGATTAATACACAGAACTAGGAGGTCCTGTCACAAAGAGACAAGCAGGAGGCCAGGTTTGATCCCTGGTCCCACATGATCCCCTGAGCACTGCCTGGTGTGGCCCTGACGGTTCTAGGCCCAGGAAATCCCGGGCCTGGTTGGCTGAGGATTACCAGGAGGGTTCCTGGGGCTTCTGAGCACTGCCTGGGACACTCTAACTCCCCCCTCCCCCTCCCTCCCCGAAAAAGAGGGGAGTCCAATAGAATGTATTTTGCTGAACTGCCTTTCCTGCCAAGGTTCAAAGGTTTATACGGTTTCATTCTTAATGGAAAATAGTCAATATACTCTAATCAGAATCAGGTAATATTTCTCTTGGGTTACAATTTGACACCACAGATCCCAAGACAGCATGGTAATTTAATCCCAATGCCTGTTATCAACGCAGTTCTAACCATCAGACCAAAAGACTACTTTACAACACCTGATTATTTTTACTGTACCTGATTATTTTTCTTCTCAAGTCCCAGCCATACACACCTCCATTTCCCTTGTAGCGAGTTCCAGAGACAATGTCAAAATTACCCTCCTTTTGCTTCCTGTGGGGGGGAAAAAATAAGCTGTCAATTAGGAAAAGCGATCAAGCCTTCACAAGTCAATTATAAGCTCCTCAAACTTGCTGATGCACGGAATGCCAAGAACAGATGATTCATACTACTCAAGATCTTTCCAAGTAGAGCCAAAAATCTCATCTTTAGATTCTTAAGCTTCAGACAAGTGCTATTTTACTGACTCTGCATTCTGTGAAACCATCCTGCATCACAGATAACAGAAGCGTGAATTGTGTTAATTCCCCTCGATTCCGCTCTTGCCCCTGGAGAGACAACACCGGGTGAGAAGGTAACCCTTCTTTTTTGGGGGCTTTTTGGGTCACACCTGGCCACGCACAGGGGTTACTCCTGGCTCGTGCACTCAGGAATCACCCCTGGCGGTGCTCGGGGGACCATATGGAATGCTGGGAATTGAACCTGGGTTGGCCGTGTCCAAGCCAAACACCCTACCCGCTGTGCTATCGCTCTAGTCCCAGGTAACCCTTTAAACCCTTGTCTTTGTTGTTTACAGAAAGAGTCCCTCAAAGCCACACACCCCTCCTATGACCTGGACAAAACTGGAACTACACTCAAGTCACTTGCACATAGTCGGTGAAATACGCATCGAAGACTGTGAGCATCCCAAAGGCCAGAGAGTTCCTCCTTGCCAGAGCTGCGGGACTGTGCCCCTGAGCGAGCCCAGATGCTCTGACAGGGTGTTCCCTGTGGGTTTCTCTGCTCCCAGGAGGAGGCCAGAGTGTGGCCTGGTGCTTGAGGCACTTCAGGGAGGAAGGGAAATGCCCCAACAAGCACTCTAAACTCCAGCAGGAACCAGGAGAGCCGTTTTCCGAGGAGCCGGTAGCCATCACTCTTCCTCCAGCAACACTCGTGGCCATTTTCCACCCTGACTAGTGCTGGACATACCGCTCTCAACACTTTAAAATTCTGACAAATGGGTAACGAGACAGCCAGACACGGATGAGTTCAGAGAAAGGGACCGTTCAGTGTGACTGGGGAAACAACAGGCGTGCTCCTGGCTCGGCAAGAGTCGAGTGGAGGGGCACAAGCCGAGGCGACAGAGATCACAGTGTCCAAAAGGCGGGCAGAGGTGAGACTACTGCCCCCTGGTTGAGTTCGCTTTTTTTTTGTTTTGTTTTTTGGGACACACTCAGCTGCGTTCAGATTCCTGGCTTTCTGTTCAGGGATCACTCCTGGTAGTACCCGGGGGACCTTATGGGGTGCCAGGGATGGCACCCAGGCAAGCAGCATACAAGGCATGTGCCCTGCCCACTGTGCTCTCCTCCTTCCTCTCACCCGGCTTTTATGCTGTCCAGTTAGCACTCACAGTCACAACGGTTTTGGAGCTCATTTTCTGAGCGGTGTTACGGGTAACCTGAGATTCACTGTTTTTCCAAGAATTATATATACCTGTAAACATAATTTTATACTCTCCACCAACACTTACTCTGCATTCTTTGCATTGTTCATTAAGATGCCTGCGTTAGGACCAGATCATTTCTCCAAAAGTTCAATTTCGAAATTTCCTTAGAAATAGGTTGTGAATGCTCTCGAATATATTGGTGGGGGAGGGGAGGGCACACCCAGCAGTACTCAGCTTACTCTTGGCTCTGGGCTGAGAGCACTCCTGGTGATGCTCGGGGACCACGTGGGGTGCTGGGGAGCAAACCTGGGTCGGCTGCATGCACTGCAAGTATACTAGCCACTGTACTATCTCTCCAGCCTGACGAATACTGTTGTTAGTACCTATGAACTTGACCACACTTGAATATAAATGAATTAGGTTGACAAATGCCTGAAAGTGGGCCGTCTGGCTTTCTAGAAGAGACCCTTGCTGTTTATTGGGCCGTAGGAAGGAGAAAGCATTTCCATGTCACAGGGAAGTTGCACCCTGTGGAATTGTATGATAGAGAATGCACTTCCAGGACATTGGAAAACTGTGCTCTGTGTGGTCTGTGGGATTTTATGACGAGGAATGTACTTCCAGGTCATGGGGAAATGGTGATTCGTGGGGTTAGTGGTCTGAAATTCGTAAAAGATGACCAGAGACAGGGATTAAGTCGTTTCCCTTGCCCAGGAATGTCCCAGGTCAAATCCCCCAGTACCATAAATGATCAGGAGTGATCCCTGAGCAGAGAGGCAGGAATAAGCCCTAAGCACCACTGGGTGTGGCTCTCCCAAAGCAAATTTGAAGAAATTGTCTCTTGTTTAGTTCCTTGGGCTCCTGAAATACTTATTCTATATCTACACTCCAGTGTATATATATTATTCCAGTATAATTCCAGTAATATATCTATTCTACACGGAACAATAATTATCAAACAACAGAAACTATAAACCACTATATAGACAAAACTACATAAACTACAGTGTCTATTTAAGCTACATGTCTTATCCATACAGTGGTTTTACTTATTGCTTTGGGCCACACCTGGTGTGCTGAGGGGACTGTGGGGGCCAGGGATTAACCCGGGGCTCCCCCAGGCCACGCAGGAGCACCAGCCCCGAGACGTTGCCTGGTCCTGACAGCGGCTTTATTTTTAGTAGCAAAATCAGAAGAGCATGTGTCCTTTTCATTAAATGTAAAATGCGAAAATTTGTCCAAAATCAAAATAAGCTACTCAGAATTCTTTCAAAGATTACAAATACGCACCTAATGAATTCAGGAATAAACTTTGGCTGAAATTTAGAAAAAAAAAAAAGTCAGTAAGGTAGGCATATAAGGACCACCAAAAGCCAAAAAGAAATAGCCCCCTTACGTGGTGTGAGAGATCAGCATCCATGATGATGATGAAGTTGCCTGTAGCGTGTTTCATTCCATGAATATAGGCAGTTCCTGGAGAGAAAATCATGCCCATTAAGAAACTCGACAGAAACAGTGAGTAGGGCGCTTGCTTTGAATGTGGCTAACCCAGGTTCACTCCCCGGCGTTCTACACGCCTGCCCCTGCCAGGAGGGATTCTTGCGCACAGAGCCAAATAGGCCCTGAGCACTGCTGGGGACGACCCCCTAAAAACAAAAACAAGACGTAGGACCCCGCATGGACCCCAATGATATTATAAGGTATGACAGATCCAAACTGCTTAAACGGGGGATCACAGGACAAGACTAAGGGGCCATCCAGTAGGCCAGGAGTTACAAAGAAGCATGGTCCAAAGGGGGCCACAGTCCGAAAAAAAGGCCGAGAAATACCGCTGCATAATGACACCCAACTGGGATCAGAAACGTCTCTCAGTACTGTTTGCCAGCCAATCTCTAGGTCCCAGGCCCCGTTCTCTCCTCTGGCCTGTTTCCACAGAAACCAGCGGCCGGTCTCCAGACCGTGTGCTGAAGTCTCAGCCCTGTTCCCTTGCAGGCTGGCCCGGCTGGAAACCTCCCTGCTCGGCTTCAGCATCGTGTTCTGTTCCGGGGGCCGGAAGCACAGCTCCCTGTCACCTCACGCTGAAAGTGCTCAGGACTTGGATGGGAAGACACCGGCCAGGATCGGGCCCGGAGGCCCCTGCACTGTCTAGTGCAGACTCCAGAGCTCACGAACAAGGCAGGCCGGAGCCTTCTGACTTACACGGGGCGGGGGGGGGGGGGGGGGGGCGCGCGTGGCTATCCAGGCCGGGGGTGCGGAGAAAGCTCGGAAATGGGGCCCTGGGTCCAACCCAGCACTTAGCTGTCAGAAAAGTGACTCTCTGCAGCCTTTAGACCCCCGGCTAGTCTTCCTGGCAGTTGGATCTCTAGGTTATTTCAAATCCAAGAAACCGTAATTCACATATTCAGAATCTGATACCGAGTGAAGGACCCGAGGGTCCCCCGACTAGCGGACGTTCAGTTCCCACACGCCGCTTCCCCCACCCCCAATGGCAGCACGGGGAAGTGTGGCAGGCAGCAGGAACGGGCACCCCGACGCCTCTTCAGAACGCCCCGCTCCCAGGAGACTTGCCGGTCACCCCTTCGTTTAAAGCGGAAAGCTTTTCCAACCGCACAACCTTAAAGACATATTCTGAGGGTTATAGCAGGGGCAGGACACTCGCCTTGCACCCGACATCTGCCCCGGGTCCCTCTGGCCTCTCCTTACTCTGCTCCGAACGGCAGGGCACCTCTTTGCAGGCTCTCCAGCTAACTGGCCTCCAGTCCTGCGGGCGAAGGGCACCACGGGCTCCGGTCCTGACTGCCCCCCCACCCCCAGCACGGCCTCAGGGGACCTCGGCTCCAAACACACACGCTGCCCTAGGCGACCACCGGCAGCTCCCTGTGCTCCCTTTGCCCGTGACCAGATGCCTGGCTCAGACTCGCAGCGGCTTCACTTTTCCCAGATGGGCTGGACACAGACAACTCACACTAAACCACTGACTATCACCGAGGCCCTACAGAAGGCCCTCGGGAGGCCACTCCTGGGAGACTGCACGCTGGGAACCATCTGACATCCGGAGCACGGTGGGGGCCGTGGGGTGGGGGCGAAGGGTTCCACTTACCGAGGCCCAACTTCTTCTCCCGTGGTCTTAAAAGCTGTTAAAAAAAATGACATTTTAAGCACAAACAACCCAAAAAACAGTTGAAAGTTTTTATTATTTATTCACACAAATGCCTACAGGACTATGGCTGCATTCAATCCAGATCTTAAAGCAGAGTATGCTCAGCATTTTTTTCCTTAGTAAAAAAGACATTTACAGAACTTAAGGTTTACTCCTGACTTTGTGCTCAGGGATACTTTGGGCAAAGGTCTGGGAACAGGGGTTGCGGCATACAAACCGAATGCTTAAACCCCTCCTGTTTCTCTGGCCCTGGTCACATCCGTTCACCCTGACCCCACAGGCTGCATCTTCCCCGCTGCACCCCCCCCTCCAGAAACCAGTGAGGAAATGATGGATTTCTATGATTGGGCTTATCATTTGAACTTGACCTACTCACTCCTTCCTAGAGAAACAAGACCGCGCACGCGCTCTGCCCTTTCTTGGAACTTGAGAGCCGTGCCCGTTTCTCAAGTCCCTTGGTGAGAGCGCTCGGCCGGCCCCAGAGCCGGCCTCTAGACCTGGACGGCCTCACCTCATTTTCGACTGGCCCAGAAGACCGGAGGGTTATCTCCGCAGCACAAAGGTTCACTTCTTTTCTTTTCCTTCCTGTCGAAACTGTCCTGTTACAGTTTTGTTTTTATAAAATCTTAAGCCATCACTCTATTGTTTAGCTTTGTCCTTTTTTTTTCCTGAATTTTTAAAAAATTAAACAGGGATCACAGCCAGCACAACCAGAACCAATGGACGACTTTTGATGAGTTATGAACAACTGTCAGGTGTCTAAAATGAAACGCTAAGCCAGAATTTCTCAGATGTTTGTCACGAGTGCAAAAAGGCAACGAGAAAAAAATCAAGAATGAGTTACAAGCACCAAAACAGAACAAATCAGGTGCAAATAATACAAACTGTTGACCCCCTGCAAATCTGAAGAGGCCCCCAAATCTCAGGTAAGGGTCAGTCCCAGTCTGTGTTAGACCAAGTAGAAAGCCCAGCTGTGTCCTCTGCCCAGTCCTGTCCTCCAGAAACAGTGACCCTAAGTGGCCAAGGGTGTATTGTCCGTGGGACTGAAACCAATATGCCACGGGGAGGGCGGGCTGGGCCACACAGGTGCTCAGGTCACCTAACATGACGTCTGTGCTTCGCAGTGCGGCTGGCAGAGCCAACACTAGGAAACGTGAGGGGCTCTGGAACTGGCCAAGTGGACAGAGGAGTCAAGACAAGGAAAGCGACAGTGCCTTGAGCAAGTCCCGACCCCATGACGGCGCTGCGGGAGGGCTTGGCAGGAAGCGGAGAGCACGAGAAACGAAATCCCACTGGGCGGCGGCAGAAATCTCAGCAAATCCGAGCGGAAGTGTCTTGAGGGTTTGGAAATGCTGAACCCGAGCGCCCAGCGGAGCAGGCGGTTCAGCGGCTTCTGCTTCCGGGAGTCACGAGTGGGAGGGGAGGCGCCACGGGGAGCTGCGGGCGAGGAACAGAGACCCAGGCTGTCGGGCCGCTCGACTCCGCAGATGCTCAGGGCAGAAATCTCTGCTTCTAGTGCGGCAGACCAATGTGACCGCAGTGCCGTTCGTCAGACTCTTGGATAAATCAAAACGGCATAGGAGTCAACGCTCGGGGGCTCTGGGAGGAAGGACACCTGTGTGTACCCAACTATAAAACCACCACAAAGTGGAGCGGAATTTATCTGATCTCAGACGGGGGTGGGGGGAGAGAACAGTGAAAAGGAGAGAGAGGGTGAAGCTCCCCTCAGCGCTCCCCAAAAGAGGCTGGCCCCGGCACTCAGGAGCTAGCCTGACCTTTTCATTCTCTCTCTGGGAGGGCAGGCCCCCCCCCCCCCCCCCCCCCCGCAGTGCTCAGGGCTTACTCTTGGCCCTGTCTGCACCATCACCCCCAGCAGGCTCGGGGAACCATGAGGTGTGGGCAGTGGAACCTGGGTCAACTATGCACAAGGCAAGCGCCCTATCCACTGGATCATCTTTCTGGCCCCATGACTTCACGTTTTGCCAGTGAAACCCCAAGTTTTAGCTTGGTTTTATTTTTTGGGGGGACGACGACACTCAGGCAGCCTGGAAAGCTGGCTGGCAAAGCACTGGGACCATTTTACCGACAAAGTAGAAAAAAGTGGTTTCAACGGAGGCTACGATAGTCATCGTTTCTTTCCCTCTTCCTTCCCCCTCCCCCTCCCGCTTAACACCTGTTACTTAAAAGCAAGTATTCCCGCTAACCTGGCCGATTTAAAGAAAAAAAAGTCTCTGTTTAAAAGGTTCAAGAAATGCCCTATCACTACAGGAAAACCACGACAGCGCTAATTTTCTCGTTGTGATTTTACTGGTTAACGGAACAAAGGAGCTGAAAGGGTCAACGCAGCAGGCGCGCCTCTGAGATCAATCAGGTCGAGCAGGGCTGCTTTGACACAAGCATTCGAAAGAGCGGCAGATGGAAGTTTCCAGACTGCACATCAAGGCCTCTCCCAGTTGGCTCTAAACAACCAACGGGGACCAGGGGCCTTGGTTTGGGAGTTTCCATGTGCAGTATCAAGGCGTTGTCAATGAAGCCTCATAACTGGGTGACCGCCAGAGGCAGCAAAGGCTCCACGGTGCTTCCTGGGCCGCTCCTGGGCCACGGCGGGCTTTAGAGGAGCGGCAGCAGGCGCGCTCGAGGTGGCTCACCCGCCCTGAGCCGGGCAGGGGGACCGCTAGCGTAGGTGACATTTACCGTGAACCAAGAGCAACGTGCCCCCCTCAACTCTTCCCACCTACCAAAGTCCTCCAACCGCACGGAGTTTACTGGGGTAGAGCCGGTGACTATTTCGGACAGTGCTGAACTGACGCTTCTATGGGACGCAGACTAACGGAGACTGACTTACGCCCAGACCAACGGTTCTTTTTCAGGGAAGGGGCGAACGTCCAGAGACGGCACCGAACAATAAGCAGACACTTCTGGTTGCCACCTGGGGGTAGCACACCCTCCTCTTAGCACCCCGCTGGTCAAATTCCAAGCTGCTACTAGACACCCCACACTAGAGACAGCTCCCCGGAACAAGGGATCACTGGGCCCCAATGCCAAGAGATTGAATAAGCTCATCTGCATGAACTGAAAAATACTTAATGCTTAGAATACGTTTTCTACTTAGATCTGTATGCTTGGCACCAAGGATCATCCCAAATGGAGCTCACACATTTGGACTTACAAATCCAAAGCAATGATCAAAACGGAAATCTGAAAAAAATGTAAACAATGTATGTAGTCATTATGTATATAATGAACTCTATGTTGCCCCAGCAAAAATGGGGGCAGGGGGCTGAGAGTGCTCTGAAGATTCAGGCTCAAACTCATTCTACTCCTACAGACTATTCTACAGGTAAAAACAAAATGCTACGGGTGCTGGAAAGTCATTGGGGTTTCACGTGAAAACAGCAGCCTCTCCTGGCTATAAGCAGTCTTCTCTGCTAATAGAGAAAACTAGCAGTATTCTTTCTTGCTAAAGAAATAGAGAAGATTGAGACGTATTTCTCATAGCTGCCTAATGCTGTAATGGTCTGCGAATTCACTATCAAGCTTTAATTTTTTTTTGCTTTTTGTGTCATACCCAGCAATGCACAGGGGTTACTCCTGGCTCTGCATTCAGGAATTACTCATGGCAGAGCTTGGGGGACCCTATGGGATGCTGGGAATTGAACCCAGGTCGGTCACGTGCAAGGCAAACACCCTACTGGCTGTGCTATCGCTCCAGTCCCTCAAGCTTTAATCTTTGTCCTTAAGAAAATTAACGGGCAGAATCCTTTGTACGACCAATTCATGCAGGTTTTGGGGGGATGGCTCACAAGATGTCAGGCAAACTTCTGTCAGTGGGAGCCCTGGGTTTGATCCTGGGCACCCATGGTCTTCTAAGCTGGAAGTAGCCCAGAGCACAAGATATGGACAAAAAACAAACAACAATAAAACAAGGCTGGGGGGGGGGGGGCGGGAAGAGTACAGTGGTTAAGGCACTTGCCTTGTACGTGTTGGAGACCCCAGGTCAATCTGTGGCACTGCGTATGGTCCCCTCAAGGACTGCCAGACGCAGGTCCCTCAAGCCCTGAGTACTCTGGGTGTGTCTCCCTCCCCCAAACACAAACCCCCAGTTCATCAATGTGCTCACAATTGTGATGTTAAACAACCACCAATCCAGTGGTCAAAAGTATGTGAAGCCTCAAATGTAATGAAAAACCCATCTGAAGCCCGACGTACAAGTCTCGGGTTGTTCCTAGGCTTAGGCATGGGGAGCTCATCACCGCTCACTGCTCACCGTCCCTACAGAAACACAGTGACAGGACAGGGCAAAGCTGTGGGACTCACAATTCTGTCAGAGCCGTAGATCTTCTCCAGCTGTTCAGCAACTTCCCTTGTTCCATCTGGGCTTCCATCATCTATGATTATAATTTCATAGTTGATTAAACTAAAAAAGCAAACAAAAACAAACTGAATTAACATCCGTGTTTTTTAAATAGTTAACACTATTTCCGAGTAACAAATATTTTCTTAAATATTCAACAGTGTTCTTAACTGTTTCTCATACCTTAAATTTCAGGCTTTTGAAAATGACCAATTCCTCACCCACAGAAGTAGAAATATACTGCCTTATTAACCACCAAGAAAAGCATCAACCATTAAGCTCCTCACCTCCACCCGAGCACGCGGCTGGAGATGCGGTTATAACATCCCGGCACTGGAGGCAGGTGCATCCCTGCAGGCTCCGGGCCAGCCCAGCACCACACTGACTCCCCCAGGCCTTGCTCTCCTGCCGCAAGACACGCATAAGCCCCACCGTGATCTGGTGCTTCCCCCCACAGAATACACGCTCTTAAAAAAAAACCACAACAATCAAAGAATATATATGCAAATAGCATTACATTAAATTTCATTTACCTACCTTGATTTAGTGGAGTGTTTTTTGGTGTTTTGTGTGTGTATGAAGCAAGGAAACTTTCACGGAAACTTAGATGTGAGAGGAAAGAGGAAGTATACTTTCAAGGGAGAACATGGACTCTTTGAAGAACAAGCCAAATTCATTTAACCTCTGATAATAAAATGGTGCAACCTTTACATAAAATTGCATAGACTTCAAAAGTATGTTTAAAAGGTTGAACATCTGGATGGTTAGCCTGTCTCATTTAATTTCTAACCAATTTAAGCAACAAAGGAATAAATCTGATTTGCTTTCGACCTTAAGAAACAATTTAGGGCGTGACTCAATCTTCTATGCCCCTATTTTAAATAGTCATAAACTTTATTATACACTTTAAGGTGAACTAGTTTCAAAAGACTCCCAATGGGCTGGAGAGAGTCCGAGGCAGGGTGCTTGCCTTACTCTCGGTTTCATTCCTTGACACGGCATACGGCGGCTCCTAGCACCGCTCTACAGTGATTCCTGAGCACAAAACCAGGAGTAAGCCCTGCCCTGGTCGGGGTGATCTCCACCCCCAAATACTTTCAACACTGCTCAAAATGATCAATTCACCATATATGTGCACGTAGTTTCTTTAAATCTCAGCTCACTCCCACTCGCCATCACCCCAACTACCTCTTCTAAAGGGCATCCTTAATAATTTCATTGGGAAACTTGAGAAAGGGAAAGGGCAGAGTCCACACAAAACCAGGCGCTCTGATTCTTCCTGGTGCTGCTTTAAGCAAGGAAGTGAATCAGAAAATGTACTTAAAAAAAAAAAAAAGAGTCCAGAGCCAGCTCACTTGGAAGGCAGTAAGCTCACCACAATACCACCAGCACCGCTGGAGCCAACTCACTTGGAAACAAGTAAAAGTAACCTATCTGGCGCCTGCAGACTGCAGTTTCCCAGGGCCTTGGATTTTACAAGTCAAAACCTGTAAGACTTAAGGACCCACTTCAAAAACAACATTCACCAGCACAATCACTGCCTCGCCCACTTCCAACACCCACCCACCTGAGCAACTCTCCCAGAACACAAGAACCCTAGCCTTAGGATCTCCACGAAGTATAACCCAGCTGGAGGGGAGGGATGGAGGCTGGGCCCAGGCAGGCCTCCAGGCGGGCGGAGCTAAGGAATCAGATTGTATCTGCAGCATGATCTGCTCTCCCCAGGGTGCTTCAGATTCCATCCAAAACCAAAAAATCCTATCCAGAAAGCATGCTGCACTAAATGACAGAGATGCCGGGAAGAACAAGATGGGCAAGTATTTCTCTGGCCTGGAAAGAGCTTAAACGAATACAAGGATAACAAATAAATGGGGGGGGGGGGGGGGGGGAGGAAGCACGGATGATGATAAAAACACCAAGACCTGCATCCTTCTGGATGCGGAAGACAGATACTATCTCCTTCAAAGGCCCACGGGCAAACCGCGATGCACCCACAACTCTCTCTCCACCGTGGAAGCTCAGTCAGGCCCGGCTGGCAGGCCCTCTGCCATCTGCTCCAAACCCATTTGCCTGAGAGCACTTGGGCAGTTAAGCCCAGTCCTCATCCCATTTCTCTCGCTGGCAATTCCATCACCAAGTTCTGGTTCGGATCCCCCGCTGAACTTGGTACTGCCACTGCGTTTTGACCCTCATCTCAAGAAGCCTTTCACGGGGCTGCAGGGAATTGCTGGCACGGGGGCTTCGCCAAATCCTGGGAAGCATGACAGGGCACCAAGAGCCTCCAATCTCGTTTATGAAAGTCAAAGTATGTTGAACACACACAGACACACACACACACAGAGCTCGGAGTTCGTCCCAGCTAGACTAATAACCACCCCGCATGGGCTGGGGCGATGGCAGCGCAAGGGAAGGCGCTTGCCTTGCACATGGCCAACCTGGATTTGATGCCTGGCACCCCATTAGGGTCACCTGAACCCCGCCCATACTGAGCACAGAACCAGGAGTAAACCCTGGGCACCGCCAAGAGTGACAAGAACCCAAAACCAACCAAAAAAAAAAAAAGAGGAAGAGAAAAAAAAAACCCAAAAAACCAGGGGCTGGAGTGATAGCACAGTGGGTAGGGCGTTTGCCTTGCACGCAGCAGACCTGGGTTCGATTCCCGGCATCCCATATGGTCCCCCAACACGGCCAGGGAGTGCAGAGCCAGGAGAACCCCCTGAGCATCGCTGGGAGTGACCCAAAACGCAAAAAAAAAACAAAAACAAAAACAAAAAAACAAACAACCCAACAAACGAACAAACAAAAACCAACCCAACCACCAGCCGGCCGAGTTTCCAGAAACAATCCTCCAAGTCTGGGGCGGGCACGGGATGAGCTACAGACACGTCGGGGGGCTGGAGCCGCGCTGCTGCAGCGGGCAGGGGGCACCGCGGCCTCGCACGGGCTCCCGGGAGCACTGCCCGGGAGGAATCCCCGGGCGCAGCAGAGCCACGCGTCATCATCCCGGAGCATCGATGGCCCAAACAGGAGCGAGAGAAGGAAGGGGGACGGGCGGGGGGGGGGGAGGGGGGCAAGGCACGACCCCAGCCTGTGCAAGCACCGGCCACAAAGTTGCGTCCGAGGAGCGGGGCTTCCTGCAGCGGGGTCGGAGGGCAAAGCGAAGCCGACCCCCCCCCTTCCGGCGCCGGCTGCGTCCCCCAAGTCCCGCGGCGGCTCGCCCGGCCCCGGCCGCCTCCCTCGGGCTTACATAAGCCGCGGCCGGGGGCGGGGAGGCGGCGCCCGCTCCGCCGGGGTCCCGCCGCCGCCGATCGCGACGGCCCGGCCGGGGGGCGGGGGGATGGGGGGACTCGGCGCCTCGGCCGAAGGCGCGCGAGGGGGGGGTCAGCCCCCCAAAATCAGCAACAAATAGGATCAGCGGGGTGGGCGAGCACAGGACTCGACCTCCCAGGGCAGGGACGAGCGCCCGGGCCGGGGCGGGACCCTCGGCTGCTCCCCCCCACCCCCGGGCGGCCGGCAGGAGCCCCCCGAGTCTCGGCGGCCCCCGCCGAGGCGTCGCGCGCCGCCAACTGCCGCCCCCCAACCCCCCAGGCCGCGACACCGGCCGGGCGCTCGCGCGGGGCCCGCTGACCTCTCGGAGAAGCTCTTCACCAGCAGCCACACGATGAGCGGCAGGTTCTCGCGCTCGTTGTAGGTGGGCAGCAGCACCGAGTACTTGTCCGGCCCCGCGCCGCGAGCCTTGGGAGCGGGCCGCCGAGCTTCCTCGGAGACCATGGCGGAACTGCGCGAGCCGCCGGAAGCGGAACTACGTCAGCAGCCGGCGCGGGGGAAGTGGGCGGGCCGGGCGAGACCAACGCGCATGCGGAGGGGGGTCTGCGCGTGCGCGTGGGCTGCTCTTCCCCGTCGGCTCCCCCGGAAGCCTTCAGGATTCTTTTCTCCTTCTCCCGGAGCCCAGGCACGGCCCCGGGGGATCTAGGCACAGCCGGCACCCCTCCGGGGAGGGGGAGACAGGGTCGCGTCCCGTTTGGTTGACCCGGTTGCTAGGAGACCGCCCCGGAAACCGGCCGGCCGGAAGCGGAAGTGCCCCCACCCGGCGGCCACTTCCGGGGGAGGCCGCCATGGCTGCTGCTCGCGCCGAGGTCCTGGCGCTGCAGGCCGAAGTGGCCCGGCGCGAGCAGGAGCTGGACTCGCTGCGGCAGAGGCTGGCGGCGGCGCAGGCGGCGGAGCAGGGGCCGGAGCGGCCGCCGCCGCCGCCGCCGGCCGAGTCGCCGCTGCCCGCGAAGGCCGCCCTGTCCCGGCAGGAGATCCTGCGCTACAGCCGGCAGCTGGTGCTGCCCGAGCTCGGCGTGGCCGGCCAGCTGCGCCTGGCCGCGGCGTCCGTGCTGGTGGTGGGCTGCGGGGGGCTGGGCTGCCCGCTGGCGCAGTACCTGGCGGCGGCGGGCGTGGGCCGCCTGGGCCTGGTGGACTACGACGTGGTGGACGTGAGCAACCTGGCGCGCCAGGTGCTGCACGGCGAGGCCCTGGCCGGCCAGGCCAAGGCCGCGTCGGCCGCCGCGGCGCTGCGGCGCCTCAACTCGGCCGTGGAGTGCGTGCCCTACGCGCAGGCCCTGACGCCGGCCACCGCGCTGGACCTGGTGCGCCGCTACGACGTGGTGGCCGACTGCTCGGACAACGCGCCCACCCGCTACCTGGTGAGCGACGCCTGCGTGCTGGCCGGCCGGCCGCTGGTGTCGGCCAGCGCCCTGCGCTTCGAGGGCCAGCTCGCCGTGTACCACCACGCCGGCGGCCCCTGCTACCGCTGCGTGTTCCCCGCGCCGCCGCCCGCGCACACGGTGACCAGCTGCGCCGACGGCGGCGTGCTCGGCGTGGTCACGGGCGTGCTGGGCTGCCTGCAGGCGCTGGAGGTGCTGAAGATCGCCGCGGGCCTCGGGCCGGCCTACAGCGGCCGCCTGCTGCTCTTCGACGCGCTGGCCGGCCAGTTCCGCGCCGTGCGCCTCCGCGGCCGCCGGCCCGACTGCGCGGCGTGCGGCGAGCGGCCCACGGTCACGGCGCTGCAGGACTACGAGGCCTTCTGCGGCGCGGCGGCCACCGACAAGTGCCGCCCCCTGCAGCTGCTGCGCCCGGACCAGCGCGTCTCGGTCGCCGACTACAAGCGCCTGCTGGACGCCGGGGTGCCCCACGTGCTGCTGGACGTCAGGCCCCAGGTGGAGGTGGACATCTGCCGGCTGCCGCACGCCCTGCACATCCCCCTGAAGCGGCTGGAACTCCAGGACGCAGCCAGCCGGCAGCTCCTGGCGGAGGCCACCCGGGGAGCCCGGCCCGGGGCGCAGGACGGCGCGCGGGACGGCGCGCAGGGCGGGACCCCCGGCCTCCCCGTCTTCGTCATCTGCAAGCTGGGCAACGACTCGCAGAAGGCCGTGAAGGTCCTGCAGGCCTGGAGTGCGGCCGGGGAGCTGGACGCGCCCTCGGTGCAGGACGTGGCCGGAGGACTCATGGCCTGGGCGGCCAAAGTCGACGCCACGTTTCCCGAGTACTGAGCAGGGACGCCAGGATGCCCCGAGGCCACCGGCCGGTGCATCGAAGACTGCTCTGCCCAGAAATACCTAGGGGTCTCTGATCTCTTTGTATACTGGGACTTTTTTCTTTTTTTCTTTTTTTTTTTTTTTTACAAGGGTTTGTAAGCTGTCGCCACGGGTTGTGGGACTGGTTCTGGGAACTGTTCAGGTCTGGAAGGGTGAACTGCAGCGTGTCAGGGTTTGGGGCTTTGAACTGGAGATCATTGGCCCATCCTGCTTTCTCGCGCCGCCTGCAATCAAAAGCTCTCTAAATTGCCCCCCCCCCTTTTTTTTTAATGCCTGGGCTGGTGCAATAAACAGGTCTGACGGAATCCGTCACAGGTGTTGACGGTCAGTTTGTTGGTGGCCAAGCCAAAGGCCAAGTCTCAGGTTTTGCTTCGTCTAGTGATAGAATATTTCCTACCATATGATTGTGGAAACCCACCTATGTAGTCTGCAGTCTGCCCCGTGTCTCATAAATTGCTCCTTCTTGAATAAGAAGTTGCTTTCAGGTTAAGTTGCTTTCAGTTTCTACCGGATTCTACATTTGGAACATGGTGTGTAGGGGTTTGACTTGCTTGGCAGTCTTTCAGTCACACACACGATCAAATCTTCAGGAGATTATATTTCCATGAGGTTTGTCCTGAGACGGTGGAGTCCAGCTGGGGGGCGGGGAGCTGGTGATTTTGAACTGTGGGAGCAAGTGGCAGCCACCAGATGTACTTGGGTGGGCACCAGGCTGGCCCATCCCACTCCACTTTACCCCTGTCTGTTCAGCCTCGGGTGGCTCTGAGATTAACTGCAGGTCTCTTTTGGGATTTGTATGTGCTTCTCTGAAACAAGGCCGATAAGTGAGCATGGCTTCCACATGCCTAACTCCTGGCTGTTTAATTTCTCAGGAAACTTGGTACCAAGTTGTTGGGGTCTGGCCAGAGGCACAGCAGCAATTTTGGGCTATCAGGAAGTCTGAAGGCACCGTCAGGCTGCTGATGCACTCGCCCCTCAGGTACAGGTTGTGATATGCTGGCGGCACCGCACCCCCGGCCCCCTCCTTTTATTATTATTATTATTTTGCTTTTTGGGTCACACCCAGCAATGCTCAAGGGCTACTCCTGTGATGTTTCAGGGTTTAGTCCTGGCTGTGCACTCAGGAATTACTCCTGGTGCTTGGGTGACCATATGGGATGCTGGGGATTGAACCCAGGTCTGCCGTGTGCAAGGCGAACTACCCACTGTGCTATCACTCCGACCCCTCCTTTTATTGAAAGGTGGTATTTCTGAACAGTCAGGCCCTAAAGTAGCCTTGAGACACTCTGACTTTTTGTGTAGGAATGTTTCAAGTACCTCTTCTATGGAAAGGCAGGATGTGTTTTCCTAAACGACTCCAGAAAGTGGTAGAAATCAGTGCTGTACCCAAAGAGGAGAGCAGGGTGGGTAGTTGATTCTCTTGGGACGAAGCTGGTTCTCGTGGAAATAAGCTCCAGACAGGAGCCGTTCCGTGCGGATGCCTAGAGCTGGGCTGTTCGGCCAGTTCCTGCAAACCTCTGGACCAGCAGGTGCTTTGGAGAAGTTTGGAAGAGACTTGAAGCCCTGCTTCTAAGGACACTGCCCCTCGCTGCACAAAGCATTATCCTCCGGGCTGCCCCCCACACAGGAGGGATGGCCTCATCCGTGTCACGGGATCCAACCCCCAGCTCGCTCTGGGCAGGAAGCAGAGTCCTTTTATTGGGGAATAGGGGACCAGAATCCCAGTGGTGCTCAGGGCTCACTCCTGACTGATCACTCCTGTGAGCTCGGCAGACCATATGGGGTGCTGGGGAGTGAACCCTGGTTGCTGCGTGCAGAGCGAGGGCCCTATCTGCTGTTCTTTTTTTTTTTTTTTTTTTTTTGCGTTTTGGGTCACACCCGGCTATGCTTAGGGGTTACTGCTGGCTTTGCACTCAGGAATCACTCCTGGCGGTGCTCGGGGTACCCTTTGGGATGCTGGGAATCGAACCTGGATCAGCCGCGTGCAAGGCAAACGCCCTACCCACTGTGCTATTGCTCCAGCCCCCCCCCCCCCCCCCCCACTGTTCTCTTGCTTTGTTTCTTCCAAGTCAGCCTTGGGAGGGTGTGTCTGGTAGGTAGTTATGTGAGAGCTGCAGGGGTGAGTTCTGATGCCCCAGGAGGGAGGCAGAGCTCATCTCCTCATTTCCCCAATGGATGAAAGGTCCCTGGGGAGAGACTGCTCCGATTACAGCAGCTACCCAGGTTTTATTTGGCTAAATCTTCTCTTGGGATTGTGGCTAGGTTTTGACTTTTAAGATGGGATTTGAACTTGGTTACTTTTGTCCTTGTCAGTTAACAAATTTATCAATCCGAAGCTTTCCCATTACCTTTCTAAGCGCCGGGCTAAGCGTGAGCTGGAGATGGCTCATTGTCACGGGGTTGATACGGAAATGCGCAGAGACGCAGAAAGTAGTGGAAAGTGCCAGAAAGAAAGGAAACAGCCAGGCTCCGTCCTGCTACCCACGGCAGGATCCAGGCAGGAAGGGGCCTGCCTCTGTCTCCAGCCAGGCCCCCAGAGGACCCTCACGTTTTGTCATTTGAGAAGCTAACAGGCCCTGAACATTGCAAGGTATGGTCTAAACCCCCCAAAGCTACATTGAAAAAAATCCAGCAACAACGGCTGGAGAGATAGTACAGAGGGTCGGGCACTTGCCTTGCATGCACCCAACCCTGGTTTGATCCCTGGCACCGCATAGAGTCCCTTAACCCTGCTAGGGGTGGTCCTTAAGTGCAGAGCCAGGAGTAAGACCTGAGCACCGCTGGGTATGGCCCCCAAACCAAAGAAGCTGATAACCCCAGTGTCCTTTTTTTTTGGATCATACCTGGTGATGCTCAGGGGTTCCTCCTGGCTCTGCACTCAGGAATCACTCCTGGCGGTGCTCGGGGGACCATATGGGATGCTGGGAATCGAACCTGGGTTGGCCATGTGCAAGGCAAATGCACTACCTGCTGTGCTATTGCTCCAGCCCAACCCCAGTGTCCACATGAAGCCAATAGCCCCCCTTCAAACAAGGGGCTTTCCCCGACCTGTGCCGCCTTGAGGCCATCATGACGCTTTAAGAATGGACAAGGGGAGGAAACACCACCTGCAGCTCTTGTCTTAGTCTCTCCCTTTGGGGGAGAGCCAGCCCCTCACATCCACTTGGGGTCTGCCTTCACCCTGTCTTCCTGTGGGGCTTCTCCTCTCTCAGTAAGGCGTTCACTGCCCTCAGTTGAGTGCTCAGGACAGGACATGAGGGTGGATTGCTGCTGCCTCCCAGGGCCCCATCAAGTGCATGGGCAGTGCTGGAAACTGGTCTGTCCAGGAGACTGCTGGACCACGACTGCTGAGTCGTTCCCAGGCCCAGAGCACTTAATGGCTTGTTGGATCATCTGCCCGTGGAGGGCCGTTTGGGTAATCTCCAGTTTTGGGGGGCCGTGGAGAGAATCCAGCAGGGAGAGTGCTTGCTTTGCATATGACCAACCCGGGTTTGAGCCCCGGCATCCTATATAGTCCCCTGAGCACTGCCAGGAGTGACCCCTGAGCATAGCCAGATGTGGCCCCCAACAAAACAAAACCTTATTTATTTATTTTGCTTTTTGGGTCACACCCGGTGATGCACAGGGGTTCCTCCTGGCTCTGCATTCAGGAATCACTCCTGGCAGTGCTCACGGGCCCCTATGGGATGCTGGGAATTGAACCCAGGTCGGCCGCTTGCAAGGCAAATGCCCTTCCCGTTGTGCTATCACTCCAGCCCCAAAACAACCTTATTATTATTATTTTTTCCTTTTTGGGTCACACCCAGCAATGCACAGAGGTCACTCCTGGCTCTGCACTCAGGAGTCATTCCTGGCGGTGCTCAAGGAACCATATGGGATGCTGGGAATCGAACCCAGGTCGGCTGCGTGCAAGGCAAATGCCCTACCCACTGTGCTATCACTTCAGCCCCCGACCACCTTATTATTTTGAAAAATACATTTCAGTTTTGCCTTTTCAAGCTCCTAAAATCTGTCAGGGTCAGAGACGTCGTTCAAGGGGTAGAAACTTTCCTTGTGGGGCTGACCCCAGATGCCCCACACCGGCTACCCTCTGGCCCTAGCAACCCCACAATAGCCAAGATACAAAAAGGGGGGAAGGCCCCATCTCCCCTCGCCCCACTCCGTCCTCTGCAAAGGGCTGCCGCGTAAGAAGGTTCCTTTGGACTTGCCTCCCTGGCACCTCTGGGCCACCCCTGGGGACTCTTGAGCGCTGCCTCCGGCCGATTCCGCTGCTGGGATGCAGGACAAACTAACAGGGTCAGAATTATGCCAAGCCAAGGCTGGTGAGTGAGATGCTGCCCGTCATGTCTCCTCCCTCTGGGCGTTGCTGCTTGGCCAGCTGCCGTGGCAGACGGAGGCCACCAGGAGGCCCGCAGACCCCACCACGCTCCCAGGCTGCACGCATGAGTGGTTTGGAAGAATGTTCTCGCAGCCTCGGGAGGGAGGTGTCAGCTGCAGGTTGCCGAGGTGGCGTTTTCCTTCTGTTCCTCACCTGGGGTGCCACAGGGCCCCAACTCAGTGCTCCCCACCCCCAGTGGCCTCCAGCAAACAAGGCCACAGTTTCCCTGTGCCCGCCCTGGGTGCAGCATCAGTCTGGTTGCACATATCATTGTGAATGTGTGAATGTGCAACCAGGAAAAAAGGAGGGGGAGGCTGGCATCAGAATCAGCCGCATGCTTTTCGCTTTTTGCATGCTGAAATCAATGCAGGACTTCCTGGGGCTGGAACTGAGCTTCCAACCCTCAGAGGCTCTGGGTATCTACAGGCTCCCCGAACCCCAGCCCCCCCACCCCCACCTCGACCCCAGGAAGCAGCCTCGTTGCAGAAATCAGAGGTGCCACAAACCAGGAGGGGGTGAAGTCAGAGATGGTGGGCGGGTGGGGACTAAGGTGCCGTTACATGCCCTCAGGACACAGGACGGCTCTATTTCTGGCCTCCATTCCCATGGCGTGGAGGGTGGAGAGAGCCTG